CGGGCTCTTTGTACTGTTACGCCGGTAAGAGTAACGCCATCTATCGCCGAATAGTTGAACGAATATTGAAGGATCTAGGAGTACCCAGAATGCTCGAGAATTATAACGCCATCTATTGTCAGATAGCGGAAACCGCTACTGGAGAGGTGTGGAATATTCTCGATAATTCTAGGGATGAGGTATCGGCTATAAAAGCGTTGTAGGGATGGCACGCAGTCAGTCAGTAACCGGAACTATCGAAGCGAAACAGCGAACGGATCACCTGAAGCGAAACGGAATAAGCGAATTTAGAGTTTTAAAGTGTTTGTGAAGTGTTTAAGTGTTCTAAGTGATGAATATAGTTTAAACTTGTACTTTGGTGAAATTCTTATTTGTCCCGAACCCCAGCGCATAGCAGTACTATCAGCTTCCATTTCGTTCGGTTTTCAGCTTCTCTCAGGGCGGTCATATTAGCGAGTCCGGTGAGCGCGGTTACCTGATCCAATCAACGGTTTGGCGACCGGTCTAACATAGAGGCACATACTTATATGGGCATATTGTAAGCTCGCACGGATAGATAGCACCATCATGCTTATTTCTGATTCGAATCAATTATGATTTAACTTTTTTTTTCTACCTATTCTAGTAACCTCGAGGGGCTATTCTAGATTCACTGAACTAGTAGGTGAGCTCGCGGGGCTCATACCTAACGTTGTTGCTAACACGAACCCTAACAAGAGCCGTGCTTCGCAGAATCTACCATCGGATCGGAAACGCGACCCACTGAAAAGACCCGGCGAGAAACTCAGAGGGCTATGTCTGTGGGTTAATTTACTCGCCGAGCCCTTCGTTGCAAGTGACGGGTTCGACGATAGCGACGACCGGGTGATTTAAGGGCAACACTCACTAGACTATAAAATTGAAATTTCGACATCATGTCATAAGGTGGGTGAGCGGCATTCATGTTGTGATTTCCATGGACTCCAGTAACCACTTAGTGAGCCGTAAGCTCGATCAAAAAATATCGTAAAAATATTTTCAGTCTACAGTGTTTTACTCCCGTAATAGCCTGGAATATCTTTACAACGGTCTAAATTGGTTTACGTATTTCGCTTAGAATTGTAAATGCCGACAACTCTAATAACGTCGACATTAAAAACTGTGTGAACTGTAAATCTCTCTTAAAAGCTCGAATTTATTCTTCTAATCATCGCTTATACAACAACGCGTGAGAAGAGTAACACAAGAGTAACAGTGGGTCTGAGATACAGTTTAAAACTTAAAATCCTTCACGATCAACCAAATAAATGGCTTCCACAGTATTTGATAAAATTCCAAAAAATCGACTAAGGCGGTGAAGCCATTGTCATATAGAGAGAAGTTCATTGCATTCGTACAGGCCTTTCAAGTACAATTATTTTAAAAAATCTTGCCTTAATTTTTTTTTGTTTTCAATTATTCTACACTAGCGACCCGCCCTCGCTTCGCTTCGGAAACTGTAATTTATTATTGATTTCTCCACTATTTAATGGATGTTATTATACATATAAACATTCCTCTTCAATCTCTCTATCTATTAAAAAAATTGCATCAAAATCCGTTACGTAGTTTTAAAGATTTCAGCATATATAGGGACAGAGAAAGAAACTTTGTTTTTACTATCTAGTGATATTTATTTGTCTTAAAAATACATCAGAGCGAAGTTTTAAGTTTAAAAACTTCTCCTATTGTTGTACAACGGTATAAGTTTAATAAATACTAAATAATGATGATTCCTTTTTCGCTTTAACAAAGTACTGTTCTCGCAATCTTAAATGACATATTCATCCAAATGTAGGTCACATTATTGTACCTACTTCTTTGCACAACATTTACTTAAAATAAACTAAATCGTGTGGAGCGCCCTCGAAACTTACCATATTAGTCCTTTATTCGGCGATGTTGCAGTACTTACGAGTTCTCAACTGTGCGCGAATATTACTCTTCCGGATACAAGCCTTCGGGAGTCAAAGTTGAGGTGAATATCCCGCACGATGGGTATGATTGGCGGAAACTTCCTAAGTGATTTTGTTCGACAAACTTTGTTTTATGCTTTCAAGATTACAATATATTTCTTATATAATCTTATATATGATTGATCTATTGCATTTATTTTTGAAGGAGTGGCGAGGATAGTCGGTGCTATCTCCACCAGGGAATGTGTCTGGACTAAAAGTGAGATTGGATAGAGATTGGAAAAACTATACTGATTTCAAAAACGCTCTAAATTATTTTGTAAATTTCATTCAATTTCATTTTGTAAAATTCATGAAACTTTTGCCAAGAAAATTCCTCATTTTAAACTCAATTTGCGAGACCTAGCATGTCCTATCAGTTTCTTACCTCAAAACTTTAAATTTTCTCGATTCTCAGAATTTTATTAGTACATTTTCATTAATTCTTCAGTACACGTGCATCATTTAGACGTTGATGATTCCCGCTTCCGTTTGCCCGCGATACCCTACAAGTGACCCCTGGGTGATGGTATACGTGAGCCGATAACACAGCCACTAGGACCTTGTCCGACTGGCTGGCGACCACCTTCCAACTTGACAGCCGCCAAATAGCTTAGCTGTGTTCCGGCGTATGGGTTTAAAGCCAGTTCTATTCTTTCCTATGCCTTGTTAGGGAAGACTCTTGGTGATGCCTGGAATACAGGGCAGACGTGCCTTCGAGCTCATGGGCTGTTGACGGGGATATCCTCTATACAAGAACCATTACTTTTCAAAGTGCTGGAGCGAATAATAAAATCTCCTAAGGTATCTTGAGGATCGCCATCTGAGCAGGGAGCGACAGTACGGACAGTTTCTGTCACGGTTTTTTAGCCTTGGAAAGCAAAACTGAGACTGTCGCTGTGAGCTTTAATATTGCGAAGGCCTTTGATAAGGCTTGGCATAGATTAGAGCTTTTTTCGAAGCGTCATGCTTGAGAAAAGATCTAAGCTTGTGTCTGAAGTGGAGAGCCCTCTGCGGCGGGTCTCCGAGTGTCGTGAATTGAACATAGTTCAGATCGATCCATTGAAGACACAGTATTGCGCGTTCACTGCGAAGAAGTGCCCTTTTGTCAAAGCGCCGCAATTCCAAGGAGTGTCCTTGTAACCTGTCACAAGTATTGTATACTTCACGCCTAGACAAAGACTTTTGCTTTACGAAGCACGAATCCAGCCTTGAATTTGTATATATCCGTGCTAAATATACATAGTTACATACGTAAGTTTTAAGTATTATTTTTTTTGTTCAGGAGGAAATCGCCGGACTTCCGCCTTTTTCTGGGGATACTGGGTGAGGTATGTCAGAGTCGAATTGTCTAAAACCTCCTGTCGCTCAACAACTAACGTCCAAACCTCGCATGAGACAGAACTCATGACAAGGCAAAGGGGGTAAAGTGAAGCGTTTAGTGCGGAGCACATCTCTCCCATCACCCTCCCCCTCGGGACGCCGGACTGGCGGTCGTCGGCGCCACGACCACCAGCCCTCTCGGTCGGCAGACCGAGAGCCCGCCTAGATGGCGCCGGTTAGAGTGGGTTACCCTTCGGAATAACCCGCTGGGCCAGAACCAGCGTGGGTCGAGGATAGCCGGCCTTCCATCACCCGGATGCTCTTGCGTAAAACGCGTGCAGAGCAGCTTGCACGTCGTCTTCTTAGGCCCCCCTCGCCGGTCCCCAGACTGACATGTGAGGGGGACCCGAAACACTTAGAGGGCCAGGGCTTGGGCGAGATCCGCTTCCATGGCCCCCGCTCGACGCCGGCGGGATTGTGCGTCTCTCAAGCGCCCCGCCGCCTCCTTCTGCGAGATGGTGCACTCGCAGAAGTCGAGCATCGCCTTCCACGACTCGTCGTCGCCGAGCATCGATGCCACAGGTTTTAAGTATAGAAGAGAATTTCTTTTTTCTACCTTTCTCCGTAATATCCGGATTCATACACACCAGCTGTCAGAAAGATTAGCTCGTCAACGATAAGACCTCCTTTTGTACTTGCTCCATATTTTCATTATTATTTAACAGGTTATTTAGAAGTCTCAAGATTTCAGTCGACGGTGAAGTACTTGCTTATACAGATAAATACATTTAATTGGGTAAACAAATAGGGGTTTAACAGCAAAAATAATGAGTTAGAAGTAGTACGAAGAATACAAAACACTTGGAATAAATACTGGAGTATGAAAGAAATATTTAAAAGCAATATGAGCAACGAAACCAAAGCAACGAATAGATGTCTTCTACCATACCTAACTTACGCTGCCCAGAACTGGAAATTTACTAGTAGAATTAGGAACAAAATCATTAGCTGCCAACGAGGCAACATCGGTTTTCGTTGGAGGAGGCCTTCACTCGAGAGGTAATAAGCAATATTAAAAAAAGAAAATAATAAGAATTGTTAATTATTGGTTGCAAGAAATAAACAGGCATTTTATGTTTTATATGATTTTATTTTTATTTTTATTTATTTAGATTTTACATTTATATTATTATTTACATTTTATTTTCTATTTATTTAGAAGTCGTGGCCTAAAGGATAAGAAGTCCGGTTCAATGGTATCGAGCGATGCGTCTGTGTCGGTATTGAAATCCCGAGTCAGGTCTCAATTGTTTTCAATCTAATAAGATACGTCTTAACAAATGTTCGCGATGACTTTAACAGTGAAGGATAATCATCGTGTCATAGAAAACAAACTCTCAAAAATTTTTATTTGTCTAATGACTGTTGGCATGTCGTCTTGTGAGGCCGCATGGCTATGTACCACAACGCTGCCTCTTTAACTTGAAACTCATGTCTCAAGGTAGATGGCGGAATTAACGTTGTTGATGTCTATGGGCTCCGGTGACCTCAAATACTAGGTAAGTTCTGAGCTGGTCCACCGATCTAAGCAATAAAAAAATCTACATAATCAGGCTATTGCTCGCACCAAATCATTCGTAAACCATCCAAACCGATAATAATATCGTGATCATAATTTGGCAGGTCAAAGCGATCGTTCCGTATTCACAGGTATAGAAGATATCTGTTATTAATTGTCATTCAGAATTATCAGTCAGAACACGTAGATGGCATATCGAAACGCACACAATCAAAGCGTCGCGTCGATGAGAACCGTATTCTGTTTCTTTTACGGTGCGCGTACGACTGTCGTGTCTCGAAGAAAGCCTCAGTGCTGACCTGGCGGCCGTCGCGATCGCACCGGCCCGCCGACAATGTGGCTGACTTTGTGACTCAAGTGTGGTGAATTTGTGTTCAAGAGCAGTGCCCGTGCGTTAACCCCAACCCCTGATAGTGCCTAACCGGATTTTTTTTAAATACAGAACGCCCGCGGCGTACTAAAGGTGGGTTCGGTAGTATGCTAAGTTCGTTTCCCATTATCTAGACGTATCACTAGTGCTGCGCTCAGTCGAGTGTTAATTTAAGGTAATGTGAAAGTTGTGACGATCGATCGTTGAGTTCGAGGAGTCAGTGATGTTGACACACTTTTGGTTCAGGTGTGGTAGCTGGCAGGTGGGCGCGCCGTCTTCGTGTCAGTTACGCGTATACGACCAAAATTCCATTCTTGTATTACCGCTTTCCGGCAACTTTCATCTCTCGACAGATTAGGAGGTGACGTTCCGTAGGAACACTTTGAAATTCACCTTGACATTTGCTTTGATGTCAACTTACGAAATAGTCATTCGATATATGAATAAATATTACAAACTTGGCATTCACACGATTGGTTTGGTCACCAAACGGAAGACTTCAACGCGCACTGCACGCTTTCTGAATTGAGCTTTTTTTTTACAGGATCCACAACGAAATCATTGGTTTTTTAAACAGTATTTGGTTTTTGAATTAAAAGATCTTGTATTTTCTTATCAACCTGTTTATCAATCACCATAAATTTCTATTAAAACACCACGTTTATAACACGTTATGACGAACTTATTTAACGGTTTTTTTTATTTTGTTTTTCATTAACCGAAATCCACTTTTACGAAATCAGCCAAATAGAAACATAACCAACGCTTTCAACCTTAACCTTTTGGCCTTAACAAGCAGACTGTTTTTTTTCTTTCGGACACAATCATTGATTGTGAATTTTCGTTCGTTTTATACGGAAATATGAAGGATACGTGAGGCAAGGTAAACGGGGACAGCGCTAAGTGACGCAGTGGAACCGGTCTTACCTCACCCCGCGCTCCTCTGATTGTCAGTCGCGAGACAATCTGCCTGAACGCCTTCCTTGCCTCTCATCTGCATTTTAAGAAACTAATACCACAATTATTTATTCGTATATAACTCAAATAGTTATTTAATTCATCTATACTAATATATAAATCTACAGTGGTCTTTACGGATGTTCCGTTATAACTACTGAACCATGCATCCGATTAACTTGAAACTTGGTATCCATGTAGAAAATACATGTACTTAATGAATAGGCTAATATTTATTTGAGTGTTGAACTCCCTAATAATAATGACAATAAATAATAATGTTAATTTTAAATGCCCAGCGAAGCGGGCCAGTGCGGCTAGTATTATATGTAAAGGGTATATGTATATATTGTCTATAATAATGTATTGTCTATATTACATAGAATTTCTATTAATTAAACGGTTGTCTGGAAGAGATCGCTTTTAGCGATAAGACCGCCTATTGTACAAACGTGTCTGTTTTTTGACTGTTTTTAATGTAAATTGTGTTTTGGTGTGCAATAAAGTGTATTCTCTCTCACTCTCTACCACGTTATTAGAAACGCATATTTCTTTTCTTCAAGAACGATAACGCGCCACATGCGGCTTAAGCGTTGAAAACTATTCAACTGTAAAAATACTGGGTTCTGTTCTCCGACTAAAATGTCAGTAAAGCAATAAAGAATCCAACCACCAATGAGGGTGGTGATTTAAAATCAAATTAAATTAAATTTTCATTTCTGAATATTTATTTACATATTTTATAGCAGCTAAAGACCTGATTAGCGATCGTAATTATTGTGAATACTAGTAGTAAATAAAGTTGATTGATAAGATTAATTTATACTATTTTGAGGTTTAAGTCATCAAACGGACTTTTACGTTATATTTTTTACACGATCGTCAATAATTTAATATCAAATTGAAATATCAACAAATAGCACTTTAGTCATTCGTGACGATAGCAACTGTATTTTATTCAAAACGTCAGAAATTATTAAATGAAAATAATAAAAGCGATATTAAGCACAGTTTACATACTAAAATTATGTCAAACAACACCTTTTGTCTTATCTCTTGTGTTAATGGTTCAAAAATGGATTGATTAGAAATCAACGTAAGCAAATAACAGCTTCATATATATGTAGATACATATCTACTAAGTAAAAGTGTTTCATATTTTGTTCTAAATTTTAACGATGTCAAAATTTGAGTGCCACCCCAGAGGCCATTGTTGCAATATTATTTGGATACTTCAATTTAATGTTTATGTAACTATTTTGATATTTTTCCTTGAATTTCGCTCACACACTTAATTTGGTTTTACAGTTTTTAGCTTTTTTTTCCTACCTATGCTGATAGCCTTGAGAGGCTATTTCAGCTTCGCCCTAACGTTTGTAGGTGAGCTCGCGGGGCTCAACCGGAGAGTTGCTAACACTGACCCTAGCAAGAGCAGTGCTTCACAGAATCTACCATCGGATCGGAAACGCGACCCACTGAGAAGATCCGGCGAAAAACTCAGTGGGCTGTGTCTATGGGTTAGTTCGCTCGTCGAGCCCTTCGTCGCAAGCAACGGGTTCTACGAGGACGGTGACCAGAGTTTTTAGCCTTGAATTAAATGAAATTTATCCTTTTTTTTGTGGTTTAATATCAGTATCTTTCAAACCAGTTCTTTTTTTAACTCGACCATTGGATCTACTATAATTTCTAAGAGTACTTATCTTTCAAACCAATTTTTTTTAACTGATAAAATTTCTTCTATTAGTCCTCCACTACCGCCGATTTTAAATGTGTTTTTTTAAATGTTCATTTGGAATACTCAGTTGTATTTAATAAGATCGCGGAATATTTTTTCGACACTAATTAAAATTTCATTTCAAATTAGTCTGTTTTCAAATTTTCAAGACGTCTTTCGCCGTCCAGGTCGTATTCTATCTTCAAATAAAATAAAAGTACACAAATAAAATTATCTATATATTAATACGTAAAGTAGAAACTTTGTGCCCCTTTTTACGAAAATTGCGCGAACGGAGGAGTATGAAATGTCTCACACTTATAGAGAATACAGAGAAGCAGTGCAGAATACAACTAATATTTTTTTAATTGTGCATAATAAATTCAGTAAACCAATAAAGAAAACATCACACACACTACCATGTGTTTGACACATACGCGCATATATATTTATTGTTAAAGTCTGTGGTCAAATGGAGAATAGATTAATATGATTAAATGTAGAGGTATAGTCTTTGACAATAGAACCATAACAATGTCCAAACTTATAATTTCAATTAATTATAGTATAATTTCGACTACAGAGGGACCACTAGTGTTAATAGTTACGTTATATGAATAGATTTTGCATCCATACGATATAAAAACCAGGCGACAATAGCATCACATTCCAAGTACCTACTAAAAGCGTTTCTTTATACTTTGACTTAGTAATTATACATCAGACCTGTATGGTGGCCACCTAACGACAATCCTAGTTCCGAATTCAATGTTAATGCTGCAGCAACACTTTCATCATTCAGTTGGAGTTCTCTCGAAAAATTTTGAACCGGATTTTTTTATGTACTGAAGCGTTTAAAACTATCTTGTATTTTCTAACTGGTTTAAGTATTTATTTCATTCCTACTTTTACTTTCGGGTATAGACCAGAAAATCGTTATCATTGTGCCAGTTTCAAAAATTACCTGTACAACTTTTTTCCTACCTATTCGTTGGTAACCTAAGGATCTTATTACAAAATTATGCGTGGACGAGTAGGTGAACTCACGGACTTAGTCTGAGAGAATTTGCTAACACTATCCCTAGCAAAAGCGGTGCCTTGCAGAATCTACCACTACGACCTCGAATCGCGACCCACTGAGAAGATCCGGCGAGAAACTCAGTGGGCTGTGTCTATAGGTTAGTTCGGTCGTCGAACTCGACATTCGACGAGGATTTGCAGTAACCAGTATTTGGGGAGCCTAAAAGGACCTAGAATGGATCCAGGGGATACGACAAGAACTTGATGTCTCCTAAGTATATTGTTAGATAAATAAAAACTATTATATATTATCAGCTACCACGGAATGTATTTTTCGAGAAAGGCTATTTAACTATATATACTGCTTTGGAAAATTACGATTAATATATTAGAGCCATAAATAAAATTTAATAGCTTTGAATTCCTAAAAAGCATAAAAAAAAATTTTTATACCTACTTATATCCAAGGCCGTATTCCATCTGAGCAAACTTGAAACTACCAAACAGTAAACATTTACAAATTGTGAACCTAAGGAAATCGTTAACCATACATTCCATACCGCCATTCGAATAAATACATTTGATTACGTCCCCAAATTAGGAAGTGAAAGTAAAATACTTATTTACAATCGGCAAATTTTCACTACTCATTGGCATCTGGTTAATACCTGACCCGCATGAAGCGTTGTAAGTTACCTGTTAATTATCCGTGGGTAGTTGTAAACGTAAATTACGTAAGCACAAACACGCTTTCTTTGGTTGAAAAAATTGGTTGTCTATAAAGTCGGTTTACGGACGATAGTTTTACTTGATAACGTCATAAAGGGACATTGATGAAAAATTGCATACTTTTATGAATTGAATTGAAATATTATCACTGAATTCTCATTATTTTGTAGAATACAAAGGATTTCATTGAAAATTATAATTTTGTCGATAAATTAACGCTTGGGCTAATCGTGCCTCTCTATCGATTGTTTCGCGCTCTCGCTTGCACGCTCGGGTTCAGGCGGAACGTGACACTTTTTCGTGCATGCAGACGGTGTTCATCAATTTATAAGACGTTATCACGTCAAAAATACAATAGTATTTTCCTGGGGAAACTATTTTGATTTCATGATCTTATATTTTATTCAATATTGTGCTTGATTAATAACATAGTAAAAATAACCGCTCAAGCAAGTCTAAGATATGAGTATAGAATTTATTAATTTGCATAATTAATGGTGGTATGACATATTTCAATATTTTTTTAATTAAATTAAAATTATATTTCTGAAGGGTGGTAACAATTTAATATTACATCAGACTTAGCCATTGAATTAACTTATTTCAAACATAAATTCCAGATCTTTTCTCACGGCGTTATTAATTCAATACACGAATTTGTGATTCATAAAAA